AAAAATATGGCCACAAACAACTGGACAATTATTTTTTTAATATGTGCAAACAAAAAAAATTAAAAAAAACAAAATTTCCCCATTTTATAACCTTTAATCCTTGAAAAAAACGTATCCCCCCCCTTTCCCCCAAAAAAGAAAGTCCCCCATTAGAATATATTTATAAATGTTTAACATTTTGAAAAACAAATTGGACCAGAAAGACAACAGAGATTCCCCCCCCCGTTTTTATTTTTATTATTACACCGAGGCAGTGGGGAATATTTTTTTGTTTTATTCAGATATTCCATCCAAAACCAATTTTTGCCCAAGCCAAAAAAAAAATTGGTGCAAAAACTTAAAATTAGTCCAGAAAAAATTTAACGGGGCCACAAGAACAGAGGACCCCCATCCACATTCCCCCCCCCCCGAGGCCCCCCCTACACAAAGAGTTGACAGATTTGCATGCACACTTGCCTAGTTGGAACCAAGTTATTTTTTTTCCCCCCCCCCATTCCCCACCCCCCTAAATAATACCACCCCTTTGTTGACAAACAAGCATCACAAAGCAGTTAAACAAACCAGCATCAAAAAGCCACCAAAAGGTAAAAAAAAAGCCAAGCAAGCCAAAGGCAAAACAGCAAAAAAAGCAGCCACAGCAATCACAAAAGGCCAAAGCAGCAAAAACAACAAACCACAAAGCCAAAACAACCAACCACCCTGCCAAAAAATAGCAACCCCAAACCAACCCCAAAAATCCCATCAGCAAACAAAAACAAAGCCAGCCCTGGCCAAAGGTTAAAAACAAAACAACCAAACCCCAAAGCACAGCCCCAAAGCAAGCAAAAAAAAAAAATCCAAAACAGCAAGCACCAAGCAAAAGCCCAACCAAGCAAGCAAAAAAATCAAAAATTTTTAACAAAGCAAAGCAGCAGCCAGCAGCAAGCAAAAACCAAACAAAAACCAGCAGCAAAAAACAAAACAGCAAAAACAACAAAAACCAGCAAAAAAAGCAATCAGCCAAAAAACCAACAGCAAAAAGCAAAAGCCCCAAAGCAAAAAAAAACCAGGCTCAGCCAGCCAATGCAGGGCAAACAACAGCAAAAAGCAAAATCAGCATCAACAACAGCCCAAAAAGCAAAGCACCATCAAACACAACGCCAGCAATAGCACAACAAGCAGCAACAACCAGCAAAGGCAAGCAGCAAAGCAACACAACCCAGCCAGCAATCAAGCAACAAGCACATCCAAAAAAAAAAACAAAAAACAGCATCCAATCCCCAAAACAGCCCAACATCATCAAAAACGCAAGGTTTAAACAGGCAAAGCCCAAAACAACAAGCAAACAGTAAAACAGCAAGCCCAAAAAACAAAAAAGCAAATGCAAACCATCCCAAAACAAAAAACAGCAAGCAAAACAAAAACAAAACCCAACCAGGGCAAGGCCAAAACAAAAAACAGAACCAGCAAAGCAAAAACCAAAACAACAAACAAAAAAAAACAGCCAGAAAAAAAACAAACACAACGGCAAACAACAAACAAAAAACAACACACAGCAAAAAAAGCAAGGCCCAGCTTGGCCAATCAACCCAACAAAGAGCAACACCAAAAACCGCATCCCAAAACCCCCACAAAACAAGCAAACAAACCAAACAAAAAGCAAGCAACAACATCCAAAACCAGCACAAAGCAAAAGCAAGGCAACCAACAAGTCAAAGCCAAACAACAGCAAGCCAAAGCAAAATAGGCCAAGCAAAAGTTAACCAACCACAAGTAACAATACCACCCAAAACCAAATCAAAAACCAAAGCAGGTAACCAGCAAAAATTTAAACATCAAGCCAAAAAAAAAAAGTTAGCAAAAAAATAAAAAAAAAAAGCAAGTAATCCCTGTAGCACCAAAACAAACAGCAAAAGCCAAGCCCAGTAAAAAAAAAAAAAAAAACCCCCCAAAAACAGTTTTAACACCCGCAAAAGCAGCAAACAGCATCAGTAAAATAACACAAAAATAAAAAAGCAAAACAAGAGCAAAAGATAAAAAAAAAAAAAAAAACAGTCAAATCAAAGCAAAGCAATTTAAAAGCAGCAAAAGCTCATAACCCAGCCAGCAAAGCAACAGTAAAAAAAAAAAGCAAATAACCATCCAAAAGATAAACAACAGCAAGCCCCAACAACCCAAAGCAGTAAATACAGCACCATATAAAGCCCCATTCAAAAGCCAGCAGTTTTTAAAAACAAGCCACCAAGAAACCAAAAAAATCCAGTTAAAGAGCCGCAAAAGCCCAAAAGCAGTAAGCCCCAGCAGTTACAATTAAACAAGCAGCAAATCACAGTAACAAGTAAAACAAAGCAAGCAGCAGCCATTAAAAAAAACAGCAATAAACGTAAAGCCAAAACCCAACAAAGCAGCAAAAACAGCAAACAGCAGTACAGCCATAAAAACTAAGCCCCCCACCCAAAAAACCCAGCCAAGCAGGCCAAGCCCCGCAGCCCACGCATCAAAAAAGGCGAAAAGCCCACAATCATCCATAAGGCCCCTGATAGGGGTTCCCACCCGCCCCAAAAAAGTTATTTTTGTACCCTTGGAAGTTTTTCAAAGTGGGGGGCCTGAGGTCCCCCCCAGGTGGGGTCCTTGGGTGCCCCAACATTTGGGGGGTGAACAAAAAATCTAACGGTTATGGGGTGTTTATTTCTAAGGGCAAGTGGGGGGTGGGAATTACTTCAAGAAATGAGTTGTTCCCTCCCCCTTTTCCTCCTGGGGTTTTTTTTATTTCCCCCTCCCTTTTTTAGCCCCCCCCACCTTTTTTTATTTTTGTTTTTTTCTTGATCCCCCCCGTTAATTTTTGTACCTGCAAAATTGGTTATTTAATGTTTATTAACACTTAATGGCCCCTTCAATTTTTATTTATTAAACAAAACCAAAAAAGAAAATGTATAATTTTATTTTTAAAAAAAAAAACCCCTGCAAAAATTCTTTTTCACCTTACCACACACACAAAAAAAGTGTGACAATGGTATAAAAAAAACCAACTCTTGGGATTTATAACGCAACCCCAAGGAACATGCCTCCCTTGCTTGGGACCCCCCTCTGGGGATGGGACAAAAAACGTGTGGAACTGTGGAACTTCCTCAGGGAAACCCCCCTCACCCCCCCCTGAAAGGAGCAACAGGGAACTGCCTCCCCCAGCTGTAAAACCCTTTCCCTGAAAAGAAAAAGCCAACAGGGGAACCTGGGAACCCCCTCCCCTCCCCTGGGACCACCTTGAGGGAAGCCCAAAACAAAGGGGTAACTTGTGGGGCCCCTTCCCCCTTGCCATGGGAACTCCCCCCTGAAGGGAGCAAAATAGGGGGACCGGCCCTCCCCTGCCCCGGGGGACTCCCTAGAATGAGCCAACAAAAAACAAGAGTGAACGAACCCCTCCCCTGCCCTTTGTCCCCCAAGAAGTCCCAGAGCCTTAACAACATGGGGGGCGTGCCTTATTGGGGGGCCGCCAATTTTTATTTTATTCAAAATTACAATACTAAAAAAACCTGGAACCAGATCCCCACCCTCCCTAAAAATTATGAGGAACAAACCCCCCCCTTTTTTCCCTTCCCTCTGGGACCAATAGTATCAAAAATGCCCAAGATTTAAGAAAAAGTTTTCCCAAGGGTTTTTTCCCCCCCCAGGTTTTTTTTTAACTCATTGTTAAAACCCGTGGGAATGTCCAAATGGCACCCCCTAATGTTTTTTTTTTTTTTATTTTTTTTTTCCCCCATCATTTTTTTTACATTTATTACATTTTGGGTGGGTTATTTGGGATTTTTTTACTCCCTTAAACCCTGTTGGGTTATTTTTTTATGGCGAAAATTCGAATAACACTGTATATTTGTCATTTTAAATTGGGATTTTTAAATCATTTATGGCTTGTGGGTTGGTGGGGCCCCTTTTTTACCTGTTTTTCCCCCCTCCTAAAGTTAAAAACGTGGGGTTTGCCTTTTTTTGGGTGGGGTGGGGCCTTCCGTTTTCCCCCCCCCCTCTGGTAACAGGGTTTTGCCTTTGTTTATTGGGTTTTTGCCTTTTTATCCCCCCTGGTCCACCTGGTTAAACGAGTTCAGTATGGTTGGCTTCAGGTTCTACCCCCCCCCTGGTTACGAAAGGGTTTTTTATTGCCTGTTGTGGGCCCATTTCTTGCCCTTTTCCCCTTGGTACCGAGGATTTTATTTGCATTTGGTTAGGGCCTCCCTCCCCTCCAAGTGATAAACAAGTTGCCTGTGGGTTGGTTGGCTATTACCCTTGATTTTTATTCCCAAACCTTGGTTATACAAGGATGCTGGGTTTGGGGCTTTTTTTTTATTCTGGTGTTTTCACGGGGAAAAACAAAAGGGTCTTATGTGGGGCTTTTTTTTTTCCCCTTTTTCCCCCCACTGTAAAAAAACAAAGGTGCCTGTGTGCCCCCTTATTTTTCTGGTTCCCCCCCCCCCCCCCCCTCTGGGGTAACGAGGGTGCCCCTGTGTGCCTCCTGTCCCCCCCCCCCCCCACTGGAAAAAAACGAGGTTCCTAGGTGGTGCTTCTTTTTGTACCCACTGGTTACGAACCGATGTATGGCTTATAGGTTGGAGGGCCCTACGTCCCCACTTGGTACAAGTCATGGGGTGCCCCTCTTGTTTTTTCCCCCCTCCCCCACTTTGGGTAACAGGTATTTCCCCCCCTTTTGTGGTTTGGCTTTCTTAGTTTTATCCCCCCCAAACTGGTTTTACGAGGGGGGGGGGGGTGGGCCCGGGGTGGGGTTGGCACTTTTTCCTGTTCCACCCCCAAACTGGTACGAGGTTTAGCTGGTTTTTGGGGGGGGGGGGGGGGGTGGGCCTATCTGTTCCCCCTCCACTTTGTACGGACCAAAATGTGTGGTATGCCTGGTTGGGTTGGGCCCCCATTCTGGTCCCCCCCCTCCTGGTCAAACCGAGGGTGCTAGGTTGGGGGTGGGCTTCCTTGTACCACTCTTTGTAAAACGAAAGGTGGCCCTTGTTTCCCTTTTTATTCTGTTACCCCCCCCCCCACCCCCCCCCCCCCCCCCCCCCCCCCCACCCACCCCCCTCCTGTAAAACGAGGGTTTTTTGGGCCCTTTGTGTGGGGTGGCTTTTTACTTGTTTCCCCCTCCTGGTAAAAAAAAAACGCAAAGGTGATAGGCTGATTTTTTGTGGGGCACCCCTCTCGCCTTTTCTCTGTTAAAAAACAAAGGGTGGCCCTTGTATTTTTTGCGTTACGTTCACTGGGGGTAAACAAGTTGGACAGGTTGGGGGTTGGCTTTTTCCCTTTTTTCCCCCCACTTGGTACAAATGTATGGCCTTTGGGGTGCATTTCTTTTCCCACACTGGTAAAAACAAGGGTGGGGGGCCTTGGGTGGTGTGCTTTTCTGTCCCCCCCCCCCCCCCTTCAGGGTTAACAGGTGGTGCTTTGTTTGGGGGGGCCCCCCCCCCTCCCTCCTTTCACTGGGGGTACTAGTTTGCTTTGTGGATGCTTCTTTTGGTCAACCTGGGGGTTTACGACCGAAGTTTGGGGCCTATTGTTTTTTGGTGGGGTCCCCTTCCTGTCCCCCACCCCCCCCCCCCCCCCCCCCCCCCCCCCCCCCCCCCCCACTGGTTAACAAAAGGTCCTTTTTTGATTTTGTGGGCCCTTTCTGGTCCCTCCTTGGGTTACCGAGGGGTGGGCTTTTTTTGGTTGGGGGGGGCCCCCCCCCCTCCCCCCCCCCCCCTTTCCTGTCCCACTGGTTTTTACGAGGTGTAGGGGCTTTTTTGGTGGGTGCTTCCCTGTCCACTGGGTAAACCGAGGGGTGGGGCCCTTGTGGTGCCCCCCCTTCCTTTATAACCTGGAGCGAGGGGTTTTTTTTTTTTGTGGGGGCCCCCTAGTGTGGGGCCCCTTTTTCTGTCCCCCCCCACTTTTACACGAGTTGCAGTGTTTTTGGGCCCTTGTCCCCCCCCCCCCCTGTCCCCAACCTGTGTAACCGAGGTTGGCTTTGTGTCGGTGGCTTTTAATGTCCCCCCTCCGCAACTTGGTAAATAGGTTGATGGTGGGTTTTCCTTCCTTTGGTTTTTATCCCCCCTCTTTGGTTACAAGGTGGCAGTTTTGGGGGGTCCCTTACCTTCACTGGTAACAAAGGTGTGCTTGTTATGTGTTGCTTCCCTGTCCCCTCTGGGTTTAACACCAAAGGGGGTTTGGCTGTGTTTTGGGTTGCCTTTTCTTTCCCCTCTGGTACGAGGGGTTTTTTGGCTTTGTTTGGCCTCCTGTCCACCCCCCCTCTGTTGTTTAAAACCAAAAAGTGACTGTGGTTTTGGGTGCCCATTTTTATTCCTGGGTCCCAAACTTGGGGTAAAAAAAAAACAAAGGGTTTAGCGGTTTTTTTGGTGCCCTTTTCCTTGTCACTGGGTAAACCAATGGGGTGTGCTGGATGGGTGGGCTTTCTTTGTCCCCCCCCCCCCCCCCCCCCACTGGTTAAAAACAAAGGTTGCCTTTGTGTGCTTTACTGTTTATTGGCCTTTTTTTTTTTATGTCCCCCCCCCTGGCCCCGCCCCCAAAAAAACTCCACTGGGTTTTGGGTAGGGTCCTGTGTCTAAAATATGTTCCTGGAGGGGTCCCCCCCCCCCACTCCCCCCCCTCTGGGGGGTTGTCCTTATATTTGTACCTTTGGTATTTGGGGGGTCACTACTACTTCCTTGTGGGGTTCCAATAAGTTATCCCCTGGGTTGGTCCCCCCCCCCTCCACTGTGTCTTAAAAATGTACCCTAGTTTGGGTCCCCCCCACACCCCCCCCCTTCCTGTTGTCCTTTGTTAAATGGTACCTGTTGGGTCCCCCCCCCCCCCCCCCCCCCCCAACCGCCTTCCCTTTCTGGTGTTTTCCCCCCCCCCCTATAATGTAAAACCCTAGTTGGTTACCCCCCCCCTGGGTGTCTTTATGTAAAAAAACCTGGGTGTTGGTCCCCCCCCCCCCCCCCTGTTTTTTGGTCAAAAATATGGGTTTTACCCTTGTTGGTCCCCCTCTCTCCCCCCTGTGGTCCCTATATTTGGTTTAAAAAAACCTGGATCTTCTGTTGGTTCCCCCCTTATAATGTTTACCCGTTGGGGGGGGGCCCCACTTACCTTGTGTTTCTGGGTTTAAAATTGTTACCTTTGGTTACCCACCCCACTCCCCCCCCTTCCCTTGTTTTGGGGGGTCTAAATTAAAAGAACCGTGGGGTTCCCTCTTGTTGGGTCTTGGGTACCCTGTTGGGGGGGGGTCCCCCCTTTTCCTCACCCCAGGGTCCCCCCCCCTTAATATATGGTTTTATATCCTGATTTTGGGTGGTTCCCCCCCCCCACCCCCCCCCCCCACCCCCCCCCCTCTCTTTTTGGGTCCCTGTTACCTAGGTGGGGGGGGGGGGTGGGGTCACCCCCTCTTGTGGTCTTATATGTACCCTTGTTTTCCCCCCCCTCCCTCCCTTTGTATGGTCCCTAAATAATGTTTTAACCTTGTGTCCACCCCCCCCCCCCCCCCCCCCCACCCCCCTCTCCTGTGGGGTTCCCCCCTATAATTGTAAACCTTTGGTTCTCCCTCTTGTGTGGTCCTGTTTTACAAAATTGTATTACCCATGTTGGTCCCCCCCCCCCCCCCCCCCCACCCCCCCCCCCCACCCCCACCCCCCCCTCCATTAACTTTTGGTGTCCCCCTATGTTACCCAGTGGGTACCCCCACTGTGTGGACTATAATGTTTTTAAAAAACCCTTTGTTTGTCCCCCCCCCCTCTGTGGTGGGTCCACCACTTGTTAACCTGTGGGGGGGGTCCCCACCCCTTCCCCCCCTTCCCTGGTTCCCCCCCCCCCCCTAATAATGTAACCTGGGTGTTCCCCCTCCCACCCTTGGGTTGGTTCCCTTAAATTATGGGTAAACCTTGGTGTTCCCACCCCCACCCCCCCCCCCCCCCCCCCCCCCTCCCCCCTCCCTTTGTGTGGTCCCCATGTTATAAACCTGTGGTGGTCACCACCCCCCCCCCCTCCTCAGTGCCACCTAAAAATATGTTAAAAAAAACCTGGGTTTTTTGGGGTCTCCCCCTCGGTGTCCCCCCTGTAAACCTGTGGGTTCCCCCCCCCCCCCCCCCCTCCTTTGGGTTGGGGGTCCACTTTTTGTTAATGACCTGGTTGCCCCTCCCCCTGTGGGTCCCCTATATATTGTTTTACCAGTTTTGGGGTGTCCCCCTCCCCCCCCCCCCCCCCCTGTTTGTCCCCCCCCCCCCCCCCCCCCCTAAATATGGGTTAAACCTTGGGTTGGGTCCCCCCCCCACCCCCCTCCTCTCTCCCCCCCCCTTTTTGTCTCCACTAATTATAGAACCTGTTGTGTGGGGGGTTCCTCACCCACCCCCCCATCTGGGTGTTCCTCCCCCCCTAATATATTTGTATTTTAACCGTGTTCCCCCCCCCCCCCACCCCCCTCGAGTCCCCTTGGTAACCCATTGGTCCCCCCCCCCCCTCCCCTGTTTTGGGTCCCCCCCCTTAAATAGTAACCCTTTTTTGGTGGGGTCCCCCACCCCCCCCCCACCTCCTCATCTGGTTGACCCCTGTTAACTGTTGTGTGCCCCCCCCCCCCCCCCTTTTCCCTCCCTGTGTGTATAATGTTTTTAAAAACCTGGTTTGGGGGGGGTCCTCTGTGTCCCCCCCCCCTAATTAAATGGGTACCCCCTTTTATGGTGTGGGGGGGGGCAAACTTCCCTGGTGGGGGGTGGGGGGGTCCTGTAAAAAAAAAACCCCTGTGGTCCCCCCCCCCCCCTCTTGATGTGGGTAGCAAATAATGTTTTTTTAACCTGTTTTGGTCCCCCCCCCCCCCCCCCCCCTCCCATTGGTCCCCCCCCCCCCCCCCTATTTCTTGTTAACCTTGGTCCCCCCCCCCCCCCCCTTACTGTTGTCCCCCCCCCCACTTGGTAAAACCTTGGGTGTTCCCCCTACACCCCTTGTGTCCCACCCCCCTAATAATTGTTAAAAAAACCCTGTGGTCCCACCCCCCCCCCCCCTCTGTTTGGGGGGCCTGAAAAAACCTGGTTGGACCCCCCCCCTCTATCCCTTCCCCCTGTTATTCCCCATAAAAATGTAAAAAAACTTGGTAAGGGGGTCCCCCCCCCCCCCCCCCTCCCCCCCCCTGTGGGGGGTTTCCCTTGGGTAAAACCGGATGTCCAACCCACCCCCCCTCCTCCCCTGTTGTCCCCCCTTAAATATGGTTAACCTGTATTCCCCCCCCCCCCCCCCCCCCCCCCCCCCCCCTCCCGCTGTGTTTAAAAAAAAAAATAAATTTTTTCCTTGTTGGTACCCCTTCCCCCTTCCTGTTGGGTTTCCCCCCTATTTATTGGGTTTTAAAAAAACCTAAGGTTGGGGGGTTTTTTTTTTTATTTTTTTTTTTTCCCTGCCCCTTTTTTATAAAATTTAAACCGTAAATAAAAGTTTATTAAAGTCCTGTTTCCCCCCCAAGCCCCTCGGAAATTTTTTACCCCCAACATGATGGGCGGTCCCCCCCCCCCTATTTTCAAATGGAATGGGTTATTTATTTTTTTGGGTGGGGCCTTCATGGCCCCCCCCCCCCCTGCCTTTTGGTTGGGGGAAGGGCCCCAAAATGGGGGCACTGGAAAAAAGAAAATAAGCCGGGAAAAGTTTTTTTTTTTTTTTTTTTTTTGCCCTTAGAAAAAAACTTCCCCCCCTCCCCAAAGGGGAAATCCTTATGGGAAAAAAAATCTCTTCCCAAAGACCCCCCAGGGAAAACACGCCCCACCTGTTTAAAAATTTTATTGGGCACCCCGTAATGGGTTCCTCACCGTTTCTGTTTGCCAGTGGGGGAAAAAAAAATTTAATCTTTCCCCATAAATGCGATTTATTTTTTTATTTGGCGCCCCCAAATACCCGGCGTTGTGTTGGGTTCTTCAAACACCGGGTCCTCCAACAGGCAACGTTGGAAAAAAACAGAGGGGTTCACCTTTCAACCGCCCCACTTGCAACAAAAACAGAAGGGGGGGCCCCTCCCCGGCCCTTTTCTGGGACCCCAATTCAGAAAGGCCAAGTTATTTTTTTTTTCCAACCTAATAAAAAAAAGCGGGAAAAAAAGTAAAAAAAGGCCATAGAATCACAACTTGAAAAAAGGCGAACCCAAATGAAAGGCCGAAATCAAAGCCCCCCGAAAACGCCAACCGCCCCTGGGTTTTCCCCCCCCCCCTCAGATTTATAGGGGGGCCCCCCCCCATTCCGACCAAAAACCCGGGGGTAAGTCGGGGGGAACAAATTCCGCATCGCCCTCCAAATTTCATATTATTTCCAAATGGAAAAACCCCCGTGGGCCCTGGGCCCGAACATATAGCCGGGTTTCCCTATTTACCCGCCAGCGAGCCCTCCCTTCCCTTATTTTCCAACGACGGGGCCGGAAAAAAAAAAACGTGGGGGCCGGTGTTTAAAAAAATCCTCCCCCGCCCTTTCCGTTGCATGTAAAAATCATGCCACCTCAGCCAAAAAGGTTACCCCCAGCGGACCCGCCCGAATTCCCCCAAGACAAGGTAGAAAATCGCCCATTTTTTTTTCAACCCTTTATTTTTGTTTCGAACCCCCCGCTTGGTTCCCCCCCCCCCCCGTTTCCAAAGGCCCGCAATCGGTCGCCCCCGTCGACCCCCCCCCCCCCCCCCCCCCATGGTTTATAAGGCTCAAACCCAACCACGTGAGGCCGGGGGGGGGACAAAATTAAAAAAAAAAAGCCGAATTTTCCAGCCGAAACTCCCAACGACATTGTTCGCCTTCCCAAAAAATACAACAATTACCAAGACCCCGGGGCCCGCTCGAATGTGCCGGCCTTTTTAGAACGAAACCCAGCCGTCGAAAAAATTTTTGGGGATCCGTTTTTCAACCTAATTTCCCTTTGGGAATTTTCGCGTCCCCCCCCCCGCAAAATCTTACCTCTCAACAAAAAACAAACAAAACCGAAGTAAAAGGAAAAAAATGAAAAAAATAAACTAAAAAAGTAGAGGAGATTGTTTATGCGGAACAGGCTAAATGTTCCCCAGAAAAAAAGGTTTATAATTGGCAAAATCCTCCCAAACTATATTCGACTCCCCTGTTTACCGTTATCCAAATAAGGCCCACGCCAAAATCCGCGACCCCCCCTGCCCCCCCCCCCCCCCCCCCATTTTGTACCCCCCCCAATGTTTTATTTTCCCTTAGCGACAAAAGCGTTTTGAGTTTTTTATGTTTTATTATTATAAATGTTATTATCGCCTTGAAAAACATCCGCGTCTTCCCCCAAATATTTTGGTCGCCCCCACCTTCCCCCGTTTTTTTTTTTTGTGGGGGTGGGTTTCCCCGAGCCCCCCTTAAAACCAAATGACAGACCCAGAGGGGGGGCCCCCCCCCCCCCCCCGCGGAATTTTCGGCCCAATGACCCCCGATACCAGCGACCCCCGAAAAGGATGAACCCGAAAATTTTTTTTTTTTTTTTACAACTTTTCCCCCCGGGAATCGGACACCCGTTTTCCCGCAGGAAACCCTGCCGGCCCCGTGGGGGGGCACGATACCCAATGCAAAACCCGGAGCGGGTAGTATTTTTTTTTTACAACAACGGGCAAAACAGTATTTTATATTTTTTTAAACCCGGCCCACGTTTTATACCCCCCACCGCTGTAAGCAGAAACGGCCGACTAGGCGAAAAAAATTTTTTAGGACCGCTTATGTCCCACCCCCCCCTCCACCCCCGCGCAAAAAAGAGAAAAAAAAAAAAAAAATCCCCCCCATTTGAAATTGAAAAATGAGGGCCCGGGAAAAGCCCTGATAGTCCCCCCCCCGCCTCCCCGTTTTGGGTTTTTTCCTCCCCATTTAATCTGGAGCGAAACCAGCCGGATTTTTAGTGATTTTAATTTTTTATTAATGGGGAAAAGTTTTTTTTTTCCCCCCCCCCGCCTAGAATTCACCGCTTTCCCCCTCAATCTATAAATTTGGTCGCCCCCCCTACCGAATTGTTGGGGTTTCCCCCCCCCTTAGCCCCCATTTTTTAACTTTCCCCCCATCCCCCCCCACCCTGGAAATTTGAAACTGCCCCCCCCCCACTTTTTGGGATTGGGGTTCAAAATCCCCGAAAGTCCCCCCCCCCCCTCCCCTTGGGGTGGCAAAACCCTGGATGCCGTGGGAAAACCCGTCCTTTAGTGCCCCAACGTGGCCGAGACGAAACCCCCCGGATTATTGTTTAGAAAACCCCCCACAAAAACAACCCGCGTGTTTCTTATTTTTATTTTTATTTATTTTTGGCCCCCGTGCCAACCTCCATTTTATTGGGGAAGATATCCCATCCCCCACCCTGCCGCCACCCAGAAAAACCGGGAGGGAAATAAAAAAAAAAAAACCCCCAGGAAAAAAAAAAGAACGATTTTGGCCCCCCCCCCACCCCAAAAAAATAAACACAGGGGCCCGAAAGTTTTTATTTCACCAGAAAGATTACCTGTTTTATTTTTTTTTGAAGAAAGATTTATTTATATTTATATTTTTCCCAATGATAGATCTTAATTTTGAAATTTTCCAGGCAAAACTGTTATCCACCGCTAAAAATACCTTTTCCCCAAGCCCCCCCAAAGGCCCCCTTACAAACAAGCCGTCCCACTGAGCCCAACAAAACCCAATTTTTTCCCCATTTGGAAAAAAATGGCCGCCCATCCCCCCTTTTGGAAATTCCCCCTCCCGGGGCCATTATTTGGGAACGACATAAAACAATAAATATTTTTTTAAATACGGTTTATAAATAAAAAAAAAAGGCCCCGAAACCACAAGGTAAATAACAAGAAACCCACAAGAGTAATGACCGACAGTATACTATAAATTTTAACACACAGAGAGGAACACAGGTAACCCAAAATTTTAATTAGAAAACCAACAAATAAGACCCCAACAGGGTAAAAAAACAGACCAAACAGAAAGGGAACACAAGGGTTAACAAAATTTAGAAAAAACACA